TTAGCGATATAGGCTACTCCTCCTCAATTTCACGTCCGCTTTCCGTGATGTCGCTCCGCACTGTCGCACACAGAAATATGTCAACAACTAGACTTTATCGTTATTATCGCAGGAAGACTAATTCTTATCGTGGGGAAAATTTTTACCGGTATATCGCAAATGATAAGATATCGCCCATCCCTAGCAAAAACACGCAAGTAGAGACTTTTGAAGCTCCACTGAGCTCGACACAAATATGCTGATTGGGTCAGTCGCACTGGTGCTCCTAAATATTTTTTCAGAGTCGCACGCAGTAGTTTTCAGTCGCAAATGTGACTAAAATGGTTGCATTGTAGAGCCCTCTACACTTTGTTTGTTATAATGAGAGGATTCGTGAGCTTGCAGAACTCAGCACTGAACAAAACGGCGTTTTGAGCAGTGAGTGGATTCTGATTATTGTGTTCAAGAAATCAACAGATATGTCTGTGATACATTACTCAACGCTGCAAAAACACGTTGTAAGTAAGTTAGAAACCTTTGAAGCTCCCCTGAGCGCAAACACAAATATGCTGATTGGGTCAGTCGCACTGGTGCTCCTAAATATTTTTTCAGAGTCGCACGCAGTAGTTTTCAGTCGCAAATGTGACTAAAATGGTTGCATTGTAGAGCCCTGACAGACCAGCAATACAATGAGAATGTCAATTCAATGCAGGTCAAGCGTCACACAAATCAAATCAGATGTACAACCAAGTACTGGTTCAACATATCTACGTATGCCCTAATGCTTCTTTAGAGCAACAAATCTTCAATCATACAAAATTTAAATGAGGACCTATGTACACATTTAGAATGAGATGAACAAAGTTTTACTTTTGTGCTGCTAGCCATAAATCCTGTTGTACCGTTTCATTTGTGGTGCCATCTTCCCACATGCCAGCTCACTGAGCTTTTAAAGCATATGTCATCATACTTGGAGAGTGCCCATCAGCTGCCTGTATATATTTTTTTATTTTATTTATAACAGGCTACAACTGAGGGATATCCTCTAAACTTGGCACTTCATAAACTGCCCCACCCAGAATTGCAATACATCCAACTTCCATTTTCATGGCGCTTCTTTCATTACAAGACTTGTCTTCAAATTCATCTCACATATTCAATCCAACACTGCCCCTAATCCTTGTAAACATTGTTTTGCAAAGACTGTCACACACCGTTAATAGACACATCGGCTCACAAAGCTTTGTAACGGTTGAAAGTGTGACCAATGCCAAGGGAATCTGAGGGTACAGAGCAGCATGCATGTCAAGCTTGCACTCAAGTCGAAAACTATTGTTTACGCGAAGTGGGATTCCAACAAGGCTGTGAATTTATTCTAAATCACAGTTAACCCAACTTCTGTTTGACGTTTGTGTATGCAGTCGTAGCAGTTAGTTAGTCAACGTAAACCAGTCTGACTAAAAATACTGCAGCAGTGCATTCAACCGATATGGCTTTTCTGAAGCCGATGCCAATATCTCAGAGCAGGGTGGCCGATAGGGCTGAACGATTTTGGAAAATAATCTAATTGCGATTTTTTTTTACCAATATTGCGATTGCGATTTAATAGGCAATTCTTTTTTTTAAAGCTCTTTATGTTCTGTATTATTCAACAAAGACAAGCTATAATTTCTTTTCTTTTTCTGCTGATGGCCCGCGCTCGACTTGAAGCAGGCATCTAAATTTTTCATATCGCGATATTATCGCAAATGCAATTAATCGTTCAGCTTTAGTGGCCAATGGCCTATATAAAGCGGATTTAACACAATTTAATTTAAAAATAGTAAATAAGTTGCAATGAAGTTATTTCAAATATTTACTAAATTATAACTTAAAAATGAATTACTATGAAAAAAATTTGATTAATACTTGAGCAACTTAAACCTCATGTTGTTACAATCATTTTGATCCAGTGTGATTTTTTCCCCTGAAAATGCTAGTTTGTGTTACCACAATGGACTACAACTTTTTTTATAAAGTTTTTTTTTTTTTTTTTCTAATTTTTGGAGATTTTTTTAATCCCACTTGTGGTGTTCCTGGTTAAAAATGATTAGACAGGTAAAGGATTTTCATCCCAAATTTTAATTCTGTAATCCTATTATAGTATTTTTCACCATTAAAGAAACCGTCTTTGCACACTGGGAATCAATATTTTCTTCAACAAAGACAGGGTAACACTAATTTTATATACAGCAAATAGTGAATGTGACAAGAATATGACAAACTCTCCTGTTCCTATCAAATTCGCACAGACGGACCATCATGCACGTGCGTTTTTATGCAGGCTACAAATGCAGACTTCAGAGGATCTAATTGCGGGATTCACTACAGTTTGCAAGGAATTAAATATTTATTAGGTATTCAAAGACTTCTTTAAATTATATTAATATGTATTTGCTGAATGCTGACATTATATGGGTAACTACTACAGTGTTTACCTTTCTATTACTAATAAAAGAAAGGCAAACACTACAACACTTACGTATGCAGTTTACTTTAATTCGGTCTAATAATTCAGAAGAACTGGTAAACAAAGATAGTGAAGTGAATAACAGGGTCTCCAGTGCATCTTATGTTCAAATAGGGCTGGACGATATAGACAAAATTTATATCACGATATATTTCTTAATTTCGGTCGATACGATATAATTCCAATATCGATATGAACACTATTTATCTGAAATAGAAATCTTTTGTAACATTATAAATGCCTTTATCATCACTTTTGATCAATTTTAAGCATCCTTGCTAAATAAAAGTATTAATTTCTATAATTTCCCAAAAAAATAATAAAAATTATACTGAATGGAATAGTGAATAATGTTACAAAAGCTTTTTATTTCAGAAATGCTGATCTTTCTATTAATCAAAGAATCCTGAAAAAAAAAAAATG